AGATGTGGACTTACTCCGCGGACAATTAACACTCCTTAAGCATGGGACAACTCCAGCGCTAGATTGGTTTAATTGCAAGAACATTTGAAAATTAGTTATTTAAACTTCAATGTGCTTTAAATGAAGTAAAGGAGGATCCTCCCAAAATATATCTACTAAAAAATAGACGCCAAATAATAGAAGCACAGTAGTATAGTCCCTTACGTGTTGTTTCCCAAGGGTGAGCTTCCGAATAAGTTTCTAAAAATAATAATTAGATGTCAAAGTTATTTTATTAGGTAAATAATAAATAATCGTAAATAATAAATAATCAGATGAAGAAAAAGTTTAAAAAAGAAATCAGAATAAAAAAATGTATTCTTACACATTCCCCTGTTGACACCTAGGTGAGCCTGAGCTTCCCAATGTGTAATTATTGTAGGAAAGATCACTGTATAGAAAATTAGAAATACTACATTATGAAATGAGATGAAAAATTCTAGAGTTATAGCTACTGTCCAAATGATTCATGTTGTCTAAAGAGGTTTCTACGGTTCTAAAACTTAGGGTTGACTCCTGCGTACTCACCTACACCCCGTGAGACAATGTGTGTATATTATGTGCTTTTTGTCTATGTGTGTGTGGCGTATATAGTAACCATAAGACGAAATAATGATAATCAGCGTATTAGAAAAGATAATTACATGTTGGCTGCATTCATCTTAGGCACATGTCCAGTCAGAGCATTTCCAGTCAAGTAACTAAGGAAAAAACACCACATATCTTCATTACAAAAGTTATTCCGAAATACTGAAATACATCAGATAAGCTACAGATGAGTTTCTTACATAAAATCCACATTTTGTAGACTACCGAGGCTGCGAGGTATTTGACCTGTTAACTTGTTAAAACTTAGATCTCTGAGATAAGATCATAAATCCGACATCAGATTCAAATGGAGAATTAGGCTTACTCTTTTTATATCTTAAACTGTATAATGATAGGCCCGACAATTAGAGATTGAGCTTCTCATATGAATTTTACTTAACAAAAAACAAGTACTGGTACTTTAAAAAC